CGATACATACTGTATGACAACAGCAGTTTTAACATCGTCCTTAGTTCTGCGCCGGGTTCAGCGAATGATACTGGAGACCCGGGGACAGTTAAGACCAGGCGACGCACCTTACATCGATGCCTGATAAATAACCCGACTATGTGAAATTCACCCCCCATGCAACGTTGATATAAACACGACCTCGTCCCCATTCTTGATCACATACTCGCCCTCGCCCTCCAGCTCCCAGTCCGTATCATTAATCAGCACGAGGATCCCGGGCCGTCTACACCCTATATACACAACCAACTTCGCATTTTCTCATAAGCGGAGAGAGAACTCACACTGTATCGCCCTCCATGAAGAGCTCCGCGCGCTCTTTGAGCAGGTGGTGGCGCAGCCAGTGGACGAGGTACGCGACGTCGACGGGCTTCGTCTCGCCTTCGTACTCGTTGTTCTGGGGTGAGGGAGGGGAAGAAGGGGGTGAGGAGGTGGAATTGTCGAGCGGGACGCGGGCGGGGAGCGTGAGCTTGTGCGACCTTTGGTTATCGAAGAGGAGCTCGAGGCCGCCGCCAAACTCGACTTTTAGCGAGATCGTCGACATTGCTCGTATTTGAGAAGAGAGTGCGTTATGTGGGCCTAGTTAGCGTGTCAGGAGATAATCGTGGCAAGAGGACAGCCCCTGATCGGATGCCGAAGTGTGGCAATGAACCGCAGTCACTGCGCAGTCATTCCGAAGCAGTCTCCAAGTGTCCCGTGGTCCTCCTCAGTCAAGCTTGAGAAATCTCCTATGTGTGTATATGATATATCCCTCTCCACCACTGACAGCAACCTCCTCAACATTATATGCGCAGTTATCTTTTCCTGCTGAGCGCTGAAAACGCACCGCTATGATGCACGGTGACCCCACTGACCTGTCACTCAGACACCCTCGATCGCTGCCGAGCCATGGCGATTGATATTGACCCCTTCCAGCCAGGCTATGTATAAGGCATGCTCGCTTTGCGCAGTTCTTTTTAGTTCCCCTTTCGCAGTTGACCACCACTCTCGAACAAGAACCAACTTGCCATGTCGTACCAAATCCCGCCCCCGAGCTCGCCTGCGCCAGCTGCAGACGACCGACCCCTGCCCCCCGGCTGGATTAAAGAATGGGACGACACCTACAAAGCGTGGTACTACGTGTGCGTCTCGCCTTCCCCTTGTCTCTCGTCCTCACCACCCCATCCTGACCTCATTTTGCCTTTGCAGCGACACAGCGCGCACACCGACCTACACGACCTGGCACGACCCGCGCCAGGTCCCAGTGGAGCTCTCCTCGCCCACCGCGCCGGCCATCCCCTCGCCATACCCGTACCGGGACGACAACGACCCCTTTTCTGCCGCTCGCAACACCTCCACCTCCCAAACTCAAACCCAAACCCAGAACGCAAACGCCGACCGCGGTCTGCTGGGGGATGCATTGAAATACGCCAGCGGCCACCAACAATCACAATACGGATATAGCTCCTCGACCCCCTCGAGCGCGGGTAGCGGCGTCAGCCCGATGCTCTCAGCAGGCGGCGGCGCAGCTGCCGCGCTCCTTGCCTCCAAGATATTCGGCGGGTCCCACCACCAGAGCTCCGGCGGGGGGTTGTTAGGCAGCTTAATGGGCGGGGCCCGCCCGCCGCCTGGACCACCTCCGCACCATGGAGGATTCGGAGGAGAGTTCGGTGGCTTTGGCGAGGGCAGGCACGAACACCACCGACCCGGCTTCGGCGGGGGAGAGCTCGGCGGCTTTGGAGGCGAGGGCAGGCACCACCACCGCCCACCAGGGGAGTTCGGCGGCGGGGGCGGGATGTTCGGCGGACCTGGAGGGGGGATGTTTGACGGCCCCCCGCGCCATCACCATGGTGGTCCGGGAGAGTTTGGCGGTGGTGGCGGTGGAATGTTTGGCGGTGGGCCGGGTGGCGGGGGACATCATCACGGTGGAGGATTTGGCGGGTGGTAGAGATAATGTGCGCATGTATGTATACTCGCATCGATGTACGGCTAGCATCAGCTTGTCAACGCGTCGATTAACATAGAGCATGCATTTACTTCGAACTCTGCCTCTCGCTACATATGAATCCGCTCACCCCCCCTCGATGATCCGCCTCACGAGCGGCGCGACCGCCTTCCTGGTTGCCTTCGCGTTCCCCTGCTTGTACACCCTCACCCGCCCCTCCCTCTCCTCTTTCTCCATCTCCTCCCCCTCCATGTCCATCTCTGCCTTCCCCCTCTCCCCCTCCTCCCCCTTCGCACCTTCCAAATACTTCCCCACCCCCTTCCTCACGACCTCCAGCTCCCCGCTCCCCTCGAGGCCCTCCCACAATCTTCTTCCCACCTCCTCGTACCCGCGTCTGACAATCCACAGCTGTTGCCGTTTGTGCTTCCGCTTCCCTTTCTTCCCGCTCCCCGTGAATGTCATTAGAATGCCCAAAACGCCCAGCCCGCGCGCGTCCATCCACCGCTGACACTCGCCCCAGAAGAAGTGGTCCGCGGGGAGCCAGGATTTCAGGCCGCGCGGGACGGTCGCGAGGCCGACTTGGACTGGCGCTGTCCCCGGCGAGGAGGAAGGCGACAGGGACGCGGAGAGAGGGAAAGAGGGCGCTAAGCTGTACTCCTTGTAATCCCGCCGGAGGAGGTCGTACGTCCCCAAACCGCCAACATCGAACTTCCGCTCCTGGAGCACCCGCGTCAGCCCCGCTACGTCCACCTCACCGGCCCCAAGATCCGACCCGTGGACAAGGGTGCCAGGGCGCAACGCCGGCACCCGCGACGCGAGGGGCGACAGCCACGCCGCCGCCTCGCGATCCGCGCGCTCCGCCTTCCCGCCCTCCTTCAGCCCGGCGGTGTCGATGATAATCGCGCTGAGCAGGAGCACGGCCAGGTCCGCGCCCATCGCCCCCGGCACGCGCTCGCGGTAGAGCAGCGCGACGAGGGACGCGCAGCTCCCCGTGGGGACTTGCACGACCCGCGGGTCCGCTGTATCCGTGTACAGCCCCTCGTCGTCGTGGTGGTCCACCACCGCGACGACCTCTGCCGTGGATGGGGAGGCGGAAAAGTACGGGTTCAAGCGGTTATGGTCGACGAGCGCGAACTTCCCCGAGGGGAGGGGGGAGGGGACGTCGTCAAGGCAGAGCAGTGCGGAGGGGTCGAGGGAAGCGAGGGAGAGGGCGTGCAGGTTCTCCGGGCGCAGGTGCAGGTCCGCGTGCGGGGTCTGCAGGAGCGGGACCACTTTCCCCCGCGCGTCGGGGCGCGTGAGGGAGAGGAAGAGCGCGAGGGCGAGGGAGGATGCGAGGCTGTCGAGGTCTGTGTGTGGAGGTGGGAAGTGGAGCGGTCAGTGGGATTCGGGAAGCCAGCAAGTGAGGCGCACCCCCGGCTTCGTTGCCCATCACGACGACCCACTCGGCCGCGGTGCCATCATGCACGGCGAATAGGTATTGTGCTTTGGCGGTGGAGAGGAACGCGGGGAGATTGGATGGGGGGCTGGTTGGGGGCGCGGGTTCGGGCATGGTGCTGCTCGCGAACCAACGGTGACACTGGATCGTTCGGGAGTTTCGTGCGCTCGGGGTGCGAGATGAGGGTATGAATTTGCGAACAGCTAGACGGCACCGGACGCTAATGCGAGAACGAGAAGTCCGGGCAAAGAGTCGATACAGTGGTGGAATATCCGTGTTTAAGGACACGAATGAGCATGCGTACAAGGGATATGCTGCTGATCCGACGGGCACTGTTCTCGTCGTGTGCCAGGATAATTTTGTTGGAGGGACGGTGAACCGAGCGGAAGCTGCGACTCAGAAGGATCTTGCCTTTGCTTAAGCGTTTCTAGATCAACGTTATACCCTCAAGGGGTTAGGGGGGAACCCCCCGGTTGATTAGGGTTTGGGTTACAGGATGATTTTGAAGGGTGGCTCCGGGGGGAAACGCCCCGGTTTGGTTAGGATATGGGTTATTACCACCCTGGCTAGTGAAGTTCGATATAATTGACTCTATCTACTTGTAATTACATGTTGAGCTTCCAGTACTCAGCGCTCAGCCACCAAGACACAGAACTTTCAAATTAGGGACTGATTAGTCAGCCTTTCGTGGGACTGTCCAACTCGGGGGTCGTATTGGACAAGATCCTCAGGCCTAGGGTTCATGATCGCTTGTAAGTATTATTCGTAACCGATATAAACCTCACCGTTCACTTGACAATGGACGCATCAGAAGGGCACACAAGCTATACAGGTACAGTCTGAGCAGACTCAGTTTATCGACATGTGTTTATAACTTCGATCATATACGTATAACGAGACGTTAGGCCGCTTCCGAGTACATTTCGAGTACTAAGCTCTCCCTAATCCTGTCTCTACCACTCTCAAAGTACCTACGACACCCAAAACTCCATTCCAAGTTTCCAACGACCCAATCCTCCAGGCCTTTGACGTAGCCTGCCACAACCTTGTCTACCGACGGTCCCCAAGATGGGAGCTTCACTTTATTCTCTAGGAACTTACCCACAAGACCTTTATAATACTCTCCGGCATAGTCAAATACCTCCTGGAAGCTTATTTCCCTTTCATTTAGTACCACGGAGACGAAATTATTGTAGTGAATGTCGAGACGCGCTTCCACCTTATAAGAGTAGATATCCTGAAGGGAAGGCGTGATAAGACGTGTGGGCCTCTGAAAGCCTCGATACTTACGTTGGACAACCATACCATGTCACAAGCGGCGCAGCGCATATTGGCGAGAGTGGGGTCCTCGTGGACTTCGTCTGGCAGGTCCTCGCCCATGGCGTACTCGAACAATGTGAAGAGCGTCAGGACTGCGCTGTTCCGTCTACGGAGAGGGATGAAGCTGTCCATGTCCAGCACTTCTCTGTGCCCACGAGAGACCGCCTCTGTGCCCACGAGAGACCGCCTCTTTTGCCACAGCATCCACATAGGCCTCGAATTGCTTGACGAATCGCTCAAAGCAATTCTCACTACCGAGCTCGAAAAAGCGGTTCTTGATTCTGGTGCCTTTTTCTGAGTCATCGGTCTCTGCATACGAATTAAGTTGACTCACTCCTTGGACATCTTCTCAAGGGCAGTGGGATCGTTATCTGATTCCTCGCATTTGAATGCTCGGACAATACTCAGTCCAGTCTTGCGTGCGTCGTCGCCGCTCTGCTCGTCGCTTATCTCGTCCACAACAAAGAGCAGGTTGACAATGTCACATAACGTCCTGAAGTGCTCCCGGCTAGCAAGGGGGTACGAGTATGACATGAGCATTGGTCCGGAACCCAGCAGAAAACGGACGTATGCATCCCCCGTGAGTACGTTATGGCGTATCACCCAGTCGATGGCCTCCCCGTTGATCTGATTGTAGAAAGGGTTGGTGGAGGCTTTGAACGGGCACAAGGCGAAGAAATCTGGAAGACGGAGCTGGTATGACTGAGGGCTCGCCATGTGATTCGATAGCTGCAAAGATGTCTGACTCACCCTTTTATACCCCGGAGAACTGCATTGTCCCCGTAAAGGAGACAACTCCGTGTTCACTTGGGCAGTCTTCCATATAATGGGTATCTCATCAACAGTACCATGGAGAAAACCGAGGAAATATCCATACCAGATAAGGCCTTACTGTATAACCATCTGAAAGCGGATCTCGAGAACAAACATAACATCGCTCCGACAAGGTCGTAGCATATGGTATATAGGCGTCATGGAAGCTCGCTCTCTTTGTCAGCAATAAACAATCCTGCTGTGACACCGCTTGGAGACACCTATAATACGTGAATGTACGGCTAGTGGCACCGATATCCGATAGAGGTTCAAATCCTGATAACACAGAGATGGGTAACCGTAGGTTATTGTATGTCTCTTCGCTGTATATTCAGGATGTGAAAAAGTACAAGGTGCACCAGACCCCTGGCATACTACCTGGCGTATCGCTCAAATCGAAGGCTCTCCGTGAGTACTAGTCATCGTGGATTGAAGACAGTTAGATGACCTAGCCCACTGAGTGAGGTAACACCACCGGATTCCACCATGTACACAACTGCCGGTGACGAACTGTCAAAGGTCTCATCCAAAGACGCCGTTACTATTGGTAGAATCTTCGATTCCAAAAAGGGATTGAACCAAGGTGTAAAGCGATCAAGCAAGCTAGAGAAAAAGCGAAAATTATATTTTCCCGTATGTTTGGCTTGTTCACTGCTGGGTCCTACTAGTCGCAAAATGATTGATCATACTCGGGTTAGGTATTTCGCCTCAACGCGGGCCCTGCCAGAGTCAGCTCAATCGGAAGTATATACTTACATGGTTGAAATCCCGACGCCTACACGTTCAACTGTTGCTCACCGAAAAGGCCGTTGTTTTCCGATATTTGCTACCGGCCGACATTAAGATTGTTGAACATCAAATTCGAGCCATGCAAAGTCCATTGCCGTGCACATCCCGAAGCAGCGGCCCGGAACGAGTTGAACTCCGTTGAACTGTTCATATCAGCCAGATCATTCCCGTACAGAAATCGGGTGCCCTTGAGGCAGAGATTACATGAATAAGACTTCAGTGCCGCCCAGTAGCATTGCCTCCTGAGCGGTCTTCTCGTCCAATACAGTATAGGCAGGGCCAATTTGACAAGACTAGCACGATGGGTGCGCAGGGGCGGACTATGAATTCCACGGAGCTCACGACACTGTCAATATACTTGGCACATCCGGTTGTCGGGACTCGGAAAGCATTCGAGGCGAGTACTTGGAGTCGTAAAAGCGGCACTTATTTCGAATGCCGCACCGGACCTAAAGGCATGCTTGCGCGCCACTTCAATTTGGGGCTGCTCATATGCTCGTTTCTACGGACTCGGAGTTACATCTATCATGCCTGCGATCCACCTCTGGTCAGTCCAAATTATCTGACCCTAGTTGCCTCAACCTTCTGCATCTCAAAGGGGATTGATCTTTCCGATAAGGTTTGTTCGGCAGCTGTTAATGCCACAGTCGATGCATGTAGAACTACTTAAGCATATCCAGCTATTTAGTATGTAACCTTGTGACGCTGGTAGACAGCTTGACTCTGTTCTGCTTTCTTGCCAGTGTAGGCTCGATAGGGTCTAACAGAGGTCACAGTGCACTGGTGCGCTTGCCAAGAGGAGTGAAGCCGTGCTTTGCTGATCTCTTGCAGAAGCCATGCTGTTACATTCCACGATATCCAAGGAAACAGCATTTGCCTGGCCATTTGTAGCATATTAGCTCAGAGATATGATACATCATTGCTGTAACATATAGTCTGAGAACCTTTTCAACCTTCTGGGTACTAATGATAGAACAGGGGAACTGCGCGACTATGATGTGCAAAGCTGAAGAAATGTCTGTACATGGAAGCATCACTGAATGGCGACTCCAAGATCCGCCGAGTCGAGTCGGCACGAGCTGCACCGTTCACCTCTTATTTCCTTATGCTATGGTGTGGGACATCTAGTCACCGCCACATGTGGACAGCAGCAAAATTAGGCTGGAGAATTTTTTGAATGTTGTTATGCCTCTAATCAAAATTATCTCACGCCAGGAGATATCCAAATTTACTCAGAAAGCTTGAAAATAATAAGTATGATCTGCAAGCAAGCCCGACGCGAGGAACGAGCGGCTCGCGCTTGCGCTTAGTGTTTGTGGCGTCTTCGGGTAAGCCCCAAGATTACAGAAGCGGTGACTAGAAAAGCATTGGCCGCACGCTATTGGCTGCCACGCTGGCGGTCTCAGAACCCGACTCCCAACTGCGCCGCCCTGCGCGAAATTACCTGTGCTTCGAGGTCACGCCTCATTGTCTCAGGACTGGGGCATACAGTTGTATTACAGAGTGAACGTCTGAGCCTGAGTTCGACTCGGTATCTTATAGTCTGACAGTCCCATCGTCATCTAGCCCGCCCCAGCTCATTCAAAGGTTTGCATGCCTTGGAGGTACCTCTCCTCGTGCCAGTAGTTGGAAGACAACTTGAATGCCCAAGAGCACCGGCGTGATACTCCTGCCAGTGGGGTTTCGCATACTGACACTTCGCGCTTTCTGCTATTTCAGGCCGCCACCAAAGGTTAGCTCTCATTCACTCCCTTGCTCGGACATGGCTATTATTCGACCGTCGTACTGAATCACGTCTGAAGTCGTATTCTCATAATATATAAGCACATCTTCACAATCACACCTGTGGTAACAGTGGACCCTTGTCAGGTAGAGCACAACATCTCACGTGATCACAACGAGTCGAACTGGATGGAGAGTCAGTAATTCAGACAGTTCCTCTTGTACCATGGCTCTCGCTTTCTCAATCCTGTTTCAAGCGATTCTCTACTGTAAAGTTTTTCTTTTGAGTGGCTGTTGTACGATAGACTCGCCCTCGCAGTACTGTTCTCTCTAGTGCACCTACAGCGGCGGACAAAAGTATCTGCACTGCCACCACTTTCACGGTTCTGGGCAGATCGGGGGCAACATGGATCAATGTATATTCATGATTTGTAACTACTCTATGTAAGATAAATGCATACAGACTTTCAGCCCTAGATGCCCCACTCCTTGCTTCCAGGAGGTAAATTCATCTCAAACCCGGTAGCCTCATAACTGGTTAGATGGAATCAATAAATTTATAAAAAATAATTCTCAGCCTGAATGACTGACCTGATTTAGTACTTTGTATTAGCACCCTTAGCCTTCTTCAGAGCCAGGGCCCTCCGGGGTAAGCTCGAGTAGTAAGCTACGAGACAAAGACAGCCGCTTTTCCCCCGAAGATGCGGCAGTGCAGATACTTTTGTCCGCCACTGTATTTGTGTAGCCAACAGCTGCGTGAGATTATGGATAGACAGTGGAAACTTCAATGAAGCTGGCGCAAGACAGGCGGTCTCAGGTACCACGCTCTCGGCAGTGATGCCTCTGCGCGCTGTGTCGCTGCAAAGGCAAAATGAGGTCAGGATGGGGTGGTGAGGACGAGAGACAAGGGGAAGGCGAGACGCACACGTAGTACCACGCTTTGTAGGTGTCGTCCCATTCTTTAATCCAGCCGGGGGGCAGGGGTCGGTCGTCTGCAGCTGGCGCAGGCGAGCTCGGGGGCGGGATTTGGTACGACATGGCAAGTTGGTTCTTGTTCGAGAGTGGTGGTCAACTGCGAAAGGGGAACTAAAAAGAACTGCGCAAAGCGGGCATGCCTTATACATAGCCTGGCTGGAAGGGGTCAATATCAATCGCCATGGCTCGGCAGCGATCGAGGGTGTCTGAGTGACAGGTCAGTGGGGTCACCGTGCATCATAGCGGTGCGTTTTCAGCGCTCAGCCGGAAAAGATAACTGCGCATATAATGTTGAGGAGGTTGCTGCCAGTGGTGGAGAGGGATATATCATATACATGCATAGGCGATTTCTCAAGCTTGACTGAGGAGGACCACGGGACACTTTGGAGACTGCTTCGGAATGACTGCGCAGTGACTGCGGTTCATTGCCACACTTCGGCATCCGATCAGGGGCTGTCCTCTTGCCACGATTATCTCCTGACACGCTAACTAGGCCCACATAACGCACTCTCTTCTCAAATACGAACAATGTCGACGATCTCGCTAAAAGTCGAGTTCGGCGGCGGCCTCGAGCTCCTCTTCGATAACCAAAGGTCGCACAAGCTCACGCTCCCCGCCCGCGTCCCGCTCGACAATTCCACCTCCTCACCCCCTTCTTCCCCTCCCTCACCCCAGAACAACGAGTACGAAGGCGAGACGAAGCCCGTCGACGTCGCGTACCTCGTCCACTGGCTGCGCCACCACCTGCTCAAAGAGCGCGCGGAGCTCTTCATGGAGGGCGATACAGTGTGAGTTCTCTCTCCGCTTATGAGAAAATGCGAAGTTGGTTGTGTATATAGGGTGTAGACGGCCCGGGATCCTCGTGCTGATTAATGATACGGACTGGGAGCTGGAGGGCGAGGGCGAGTATGTGATCAAGAATGGGGACGAGGTCGTGTTTATATCAACATGCATGG